GAATTAGCTTGATATGAAGATATAAAAGTTAGAATTAAAAACAACCAACCTGAAAAATGGAGTAAAAAAATCCCCAAACCCAACAATCAAACTTACTGATTCAGTTCTGAACTTGGCTTAGCCACAGCTGATGTCGGTCTGGTTTAGTTGGCGTGTAAGTTAAAAATTCAAATAGAGTTCATGTCCAGATCCAGTTCAAGGAGAAAGGGGATAGGGAAAACAACTAGAACAGGCAACCCCAGAAGAGTTCTAGGCACGTATTTTCTTCAGGTTTGACTCAACCCCAGTTCTGAATCTCTTGTAGATTACATTCTAAAAAGGCTTTCTGATGTATAATAAAAAATAAAAAGAAGTCACATGCATGCAAGAACTGCTTCTATTTTGTCAAAATCCTAAACTGCCTCTGGTAGAACTAAGAAATACTAACTTATAGAAAGTTGTATTTTACTGTAGTAATTGAGAAGTCACACAAAATCTTGTAACTCCCACCAACAGTAAGTTGCAAAGGAGTTAAGATCGGTGTCCTATGTGAACTTGATTATGTAGCTAAGGAAGGAAAAATAACAGCTGTCCATAAGTTTTGGTGTTTAGTCAAAATTATGACTTGTTTATAATTTGGTACCAATATTGACTTTCTTAATGGCTCCTGTCATATTTAGCAAACAGTATATCAAGCAAAGCTCTCTAAACAGTGTAAGCCTTCACTGCACATAGAGTTTTCATCACACTATAAAGCTTTTACTAACACATTTTATGTCTTTTGGCACATGGCCAAAGTTTTTTTTTCCCCCCACTATTATGATCTGAAGGCAAAAGTTGACTTTCTTTTTATCCTTGACAAGCACCTGATGACACTGTCTAGAAGGCCTTCACAAAACACATATACTGCATGCTTCGCAAACTATAAATTGCCACCCCAAACATGTGAGTAATATACCTGGTATGAATCACTGATAAATTCCAAAACACGATCCCAACTGGGAGCTTGTATCTGTTGAGCTAGCCTGAAATGACAGTTTACAGTCTAGCTAGTGTAGAGAGCCTTGTCTCTAAATAGATGCTGCTTTAAGACGTGAATCTGAATTTCTTTTCTGAGTAGAAAAAATAAGATGACAGAAACATACATCATATTCTTGCAACACAAGTGAAGGGAAAGATCTCACATTTCCATTCATATTTTAGAAGGTATGTAACCTTCATATTTTAGAAGGTAGAAGGTAGAACTCTTACCCTATGAACTTTTTTTAAAAAAGCCTTTTTAAATTTTCAATTGATTGACTCAGGACATGCCATTTACTAAATTATAAATATGTAAGCAGATACTGATGATCTATTAAACAGATATTTTATGCTGGAACATACAGAATAGCAGGGTTCTTAATGAGGAAGGACCAATTCTTGCTGCCTTTTTTGGGCAAGACCTATGGAAATGGTTGAGTAACAGAATGATGTTTTCCTACTCCCCTCTACACTGAAATAATTTAATATTTGGTTCTGCCAATCTTAGGATACAATGTACAATAACAATATGCTGCTCTGTTGCATGCTGTCTGAACCTGAACTTAATGTAACTAATTAAGAACTTGCCCAAATGCATGCATAGGCTAGTATGATTTTTTTCTTTTTTTTAAATACATTGTGGTTGTCTCAAGGAGAATGGGAAATATACTCAGCTTCTCTAAAACAACTACATTAAATACATAAGCACTGTTTCTAGGAAGATTTAGAAATTAAATACTAATACTCCCTGAAGGTTATTAGAGCTGTACAGTAGTTCAAAATGTCTTATTTGTAGAAAACTAAATTTAGAAATATTAAAATACAAATGTTTTAAGAATAAAGAATTCAATGAAGGCGTATCTTTCAAAACAAAACCAAGAAAGCATAAGTTTGTTGCATTTTTGAAGACACTAAACACAGATACTAATGTTTAAGAAAGGGAGAATGCAAAATCCAAAAGTGTTCTGACTGTTACAGTTCCAATCCTATAAATATAGCAAAGGATAGTTCTTTAATGTAACAGACTTATTATTTGTGGAAAATTACACAGCAATAATGCTTTTTTATTTAAGCTATTGAAGTCTGGGCAACACATACACTGAAAGAACTACAAATAATAATACTAAATGGTAACTCTAGAGAAATTATTTTCAGTTTTTAAAAAGACTGTAGCTCCAGCTAACCAAGGTATTGGCAGGATGGTTGAGAAAAAAAAATAACTACATAGTTAAGAAATTAACTGTTTTGTACAAAACCTGTTTTAACCTATTCCTAAATTAAATAGTCCAGGTAAATTCAGCTTTACAATCATTGGCTTCAAAAACCAGTTTTGGGACTTCTGCCCATCTTTTCCTTCCCTGCACAATAATAAATGAGTGGTAGATCCTGGTTTTCAGTTCTGTATCATCTTAAGGTAGAAGCATTTCTTTCACGCCTAGCTCCCTTTCTCCCTTGGCAGCAGAGGATGGAAGACTATTGAGCCTACCCTCTCTGAAATGTGTTTCTTTTTTTTTGTTGGAGGAAAAAAAAAAAAGCAGAACTAACAGAATTGGACCACAATCTCAAATTTTTTTTTTTTTTTTAACTGCAGGTCATTCTTCCCTTAGCTTAGTTTTATTCTACTCTCCTTCATTAAAATATGGGGTGAGATTACCTACCTCTGCCCAAGGTCTGGAGAAAACTGGCATCCCAGTGAAAGGAACAATGTTACGCTTTTAAAAATCAGCTTTATGTTCTCCAAATTCTTGGATGCTGTGAATGATGGAATAAGTCAGAGAAGCCCTCAAGTAAATCATGGCTCTGATGGGCTACCTCCCTCGCATAGGCGCTTGAATTTCAAAACTGCTTGGAAACCCCACAGGGCTGTGCAATACACAAACACCTCCACTCTTAATCCCTATGAACAACATCTTTGTAGAAGTAGATTTTCATTTGTAATAGACAAATCACTGTCTTTTACAATGTTAAATATTATTATTATTAATAATAGTTTAATACTAGAGTTCTGAAGCTTTTTCTGCCAGAAAGGGGACCAAGCAAAGGAAGCTTCTAGCCTCAGATCTCAAAACAACACTAAGTTTGGTGAGTAAGATCTCGGGTCTATACACATCAGTAACTTCTGAGACAGGATCTCCTTTTGATTTTGATATTTATTTGTTTAAAAACACAAAATACAGAGACTATTATGGTTGCTTTTTTTCCTTCAAGTTTCTTTTAAAGATGCCATGAACAAGAAATACGATAGATGCGTGATGGATTAAAATCTGTTTCTAAAAGTAAAACAATTACTTAAAATGGACTAACAAAAATATTTATGAGTGAACAAGTCAAAAAATCAAATTCAGGTGTTCAAAAATATTTTATTGTCATGAGATGACTTACTTATATAAGAGGTGCGAAGCTTTTTCAGAGACTCTGAATATAAGTTAGAAAGGCCGCACATGCAAGAGGCCACAGTCAGCATACCTTTATGAAGCAATGAGAAAAGGAAAGACAGAGACACTAACAGTACATTTGAGACAAAAAAGCCAGCAGAATAACTTGTATAACCAGGTTTATGAGATGCTCTTGCCATGCAGATTGTTAGTATTAAAATGTAAGATGAAAAAATGTATGATTTCATGTAACGTTTATATTCATGAGCAAAAAGGACTCAATTCATGAACACCTGAGACACACAGGTGTAACTCAGAGTTATGCAGATCCAATACATTAAAAAAACAAAAGCCAAGAAAACAAAGCAAGTAATGGGTAACACTACAAAAGGCAGTTTATAATCTAAAGGCATGAAGCAGAATTTAAGCTCTTTACTCCCAAGAGGAATTAACACAGTCAAGTTACTTCTTTCTCTCAAGAAGTAATTTTATTAATAAAGTTTTTATTTATTAGAAAAAAATATTTTATCTGACAGGATAGCAACTGTGTACGTTCTGCTCTATGTTAATGATTTTTAGACCAGTTTCCTTAGTTGAAATAAGCTGACTGGTGCTAACTAAATCTTTCTCAAACCAATGATTTACTAAAATACATCTTAGAGCATCCATTTCAATTTGAATAAAATATTACTTAAAGAACTTACCTGGATGTTATTCTGGATCTCTTAAAATAAAGCAACCAACACTAGAGCATGGAGAATTTTTTTGAACAGTTTATTTCCTATCGAAAAATAATCATTTGGGGCAGCAGTGACATTGTTTATCATTCTGTCTTTAGCTGTTTTCCAAGTTAACTTGAAAGTATCCACTACATAACAAGGAGGAGAAAAAATTTAAAAATACTAAATTTTCCTTTTGGCAATAAAAAGCTTGGCATTTTGACTGAAAAGTCACTTTCCTCCTCAGCTGCAAAGGAACACCCTTCTCCAGTATATTTTTAAATCAAAGTTCTTTTTTCAGAAAAGATTTATTTTAACAGTTTGTATTTGGAAGTTTGTTTGGTTCATTTAAATCAAAGGCTTCCTCTCAAGCAAAACATAACAGCATACACAACATAAGCTAAAGCATGTTATCAGGGACATTTCTAGTCAAAGTTTAAAATAGGAAGCTAACAAATCCCAGCAGATACACTGGCTATCTGCAAACAGTAATGGGTTTATTCAAGCATATGATATGGGTAGGTTTATCAGAAATACCAGGATACTTCTACTTCTTTACGATGTGTTATTAAGCTAAAATCTTGTAAACTGCATAAATCCATTGTACATTTGTACCTGTATCTATTCACACAGATAATATTTTCCCATCTGCTTTTTTTTTTTTTAAAACATACATCACACTGAAAAATAAATAATGATATCAGGCATCAGTAAATTCCGTTAAGCAACAGTTTTGAAGGAAACATGAAGTAACAAACCTGCAATAGTGACATTAGGGACAGATCAAGAAGAAAGGATGAAACCACAGTGGAGAAAAGTATGCTTGTATTCAAAGAATATACACTAATAGCCCAGATAAGCTCAGAAGAAAGGCACAGTTGGTTAAAAAAAGTTTTGGGTTACTCACCTCCAGATGGTTGCCGAGTTTTTCGGGGAGATCGTGGCTCCCTGCGATAAGGATCATTGGAGCCATACAGTTCAATAGTGCCTAGATTCAAGAGCACTGTCTTCTGGAGGTAATCAACCATGGCAATACCATTACAGTTTCCAAAAACTACTCTGGAAAAAGAAAAGTGGAAGGAAAGATAGTGCTAATCAAATGTTGGTGAAGTTTTATATCAGTACTTGTTGCTGTTCATCATTTTAAGACTTCCTAATTTTTATGAATTACCCTAAATTACACATCTGTATAAATTACTATGTTAGAATGCAGTATTGTTTAATTGTTCTCTTGTAAAAAACACGTGACACTGAGTAGAACAGATACCTGTCATTGTACTTGCCAACCTATCTGACAGAGCCTTTAATGATACTTACTCTTGGTTGTACCGTGCCAGGTGAGGAAGAGTAATGCTGATTTGTTTCTGATGTTAGCACCATCAGGATCAGCCATGACCCAAAAGGAATTATCTTTTAAGCACAGGAGACTGATTGCCTTTCGTGTTGCTGTGCAGCTCATGTGAACACACATGGAGACTTAATTTTTAAATAGATAATTTTAAACCACTTTAACAGTATAATGAAAAAACTGTGTAGCATATACTTACAGGCCGTACGCCGAGTTGACTGCTAAGCTGGTTATCTGTTGAGGAGGTTCTCCACTCACCCACACTAGCTGGATAACTAGCTCAATTTGGTAGCCTGGAGACTGCTTGAGAGGAGAATTTTTAACTCTGCAAAGTAAACAAAACATGATATCTTTTTATGACTCTCCACAGCCTCCATTTTTTCCTTATGGGCTCAGAATTCATTAAATTCTACACCATACTAGACTTTAGAAAGTTGGAAAATTGCAAAAAAAAAAATCAACACAAACACCTAAAAGCAACCAGAAAAAAAAACACATTGGAACTGGTCATTCACTTCTTTAAGGGCCCTTTTGATTTGTTACCTAATTGAAAATTAATTGAGCAATGATCACAAATACTTCATTTCTTCCCTCTTCAGAGCAAGGCATAACAGCGTTAGCATGCTGTATTGACTTGAACAGATAAAGGTGTTCAGTGTCTAAAAGGAAGGTGTTACCCATTCTTTTCAGAGTTCCCAGAACTCTGATTTAGAGAATGGAAGGGGGTGAGAGGTGCACATGGAAGAAGAGTACTGAAAAGGGAAACAGAAGCACAACATACTGAGACAAATGCAAACAAAAAGCTGTGATATGGTAGAAAAAAAAAATGAAAGCAAGGTAAATTATTATAATGGTAGACCAGTTGTATGGAATGAACCTGGGAATGGGGGAATTGAAGTTCCTGGAAAGATTTTGTTTGCACGCTGATGAACAAACTTATGAATGACCTGCAGAAAGGATTAGGTCTTTCACCTTTTAAGGTGAAAAAGGTTACGTAGAACATAAGCTCCTCCGGTTCCTGAATTCCTCTTATTTTACCCATTCATTCTCATCAATGCATGTTTTGGTTTGCCAATATTTTGCAAAAATTCAGAATTTCCCAATTTTTCTACTCCATCCAGTTTTCTTTAGAAAGACACTTCTGCAACTCACTACAGCCAATAAGATACAAAAACTGATAACCCCATCAGAATTAGTTATTTTCTGCATGGATGCCCTCAAAGAATTGAAGTCCAAGTTGGGACCTTAAAACTTCAGAAAACAAAGAGTACATACATATCTTAATTTTATATCTGAAAATGAAGTTCAATATACATTTTGTAAGGAAAAGGTGATGGTCCAGAGGCCTTATAATGCACTCTTGTAGAAAAGTAAAAAAGACTGTCTTCTTTTAACTTTCATTTCTCAAATGAGTAAAAAAGTTCACACACGAAGAACCTTAAGGAAAAATCTCCCAATTTAAAAAATCTGAAAACTGGTTGAAGACCTACACTGCGAGCACTATGAGGCATCATGCAAAATGAAGATCCATGAGAATGGGACATTTAGTTAATTTTGTTTCCTGTACCCAAAATACAAAGTAGTTCCCCTGAAGAGTTAAAAAAAATATGTATTTATAAGCCCCAAAAGAGTTACCTCTCAGTTAGTTATTTGTAAGCATTTTCATTGCTTTTGATTTGGCTCTAAAAACCTAAGGTTCTGGAAAACTAGCAGGTGAAATCTATTCAGACATACTTGGCCTAAAGTTAAGGAGAGCCACAGAACACTAGTTGCCAATTCATTTCAATGGACAATAAGATTTCAAAGTAACTATATTGCTGCTATTGAAGATGTTTGCTCTAAAGCATGAGTACCTATAAATATACTAACATATATGCCAAAGTTTCCTAAAGCAGGCAGCAGTTATAAGGCAAGATTTTTCAGTTGGTTTTTTTTTTTTAAATCAGCTTATGAAGTTTAATGAAACTAAGATCGCAAAATTAATTTCTTAAAACAGAACTCAAATTTCAGATATTTGGAAAACATTGCTCTAAGAAATACAACATTTTCACCAACAATGACATTTCTGTAACAATATCAAAGTACATACATTCTCATCACATGTTCATGTGAAGTTTCACACCCAACAAAAGTATAACAGAATATACTTACTTTAAACATGGGACATTATCACGAAGTCCATCAGATGAACTGCTACTAGTAGATGGATGAGACTGGGGAACAATGGATTGAGGATTGGAACCTGTGCCTGGAGTTGGTAACGGTGGCACCTGCTCACCGTCTGGAGATTCAACATCATTTATTTCATATAACAGACGTACTTCCAGCATCTGTAAATTAAAGTAAAAAAATTATCAGTAAACTCTGCCTTTCAAAAAACTAGATGTGAAATAAATGAAGTGCAACTGAAGATACTAGTGATAAAAGTGACATCCAGGACTTTTCCATCTTTTAAAAGAAAACAGTAGTTTAACAAACAGTGCAACCTAAACACACACATGTAGTCTCCAGAAATACAGAGTCATACTAATTACTACAGACTGAATATCTGAAGATTGCTAAAACTTGAAAATCTAAACTATTTCCCAAAAGTTAGCTGCTTAATATCGGAAAGAAATTAAATACTGGATGCAAGACCCATTTAATTATAATTCTGTGGACATAATAAATTTTCAGTTATGAAGATGACTTGTTTTATGTAGTTCAGGAATGCTACAACTAAGAAGAGCTGAAGGCATATAGACAGCTACACTTTATACTGTTGTATACATGGGACTTAGTTCAATGTTTGATGCTGCACTGAACTAGACCATACATTTTAAAGAACTGTAAGTTCATAATGATTTCAGATTTCCTTCTGCTGTATTGATAACAATATCAGTATTAATTGTAGTGCAGCGTAAAGAAAGTTTTCCACTCTTACTCTCATCATCTGCAAAGCAGAACTTAACTCACGGACTGAAACAAAGAACTATACAGTATTTTTTAGAGCATTCCTAGTACTGAAGAATAGTTTGCTAGGGGCTGATTTGTAAAAATCATTTAGAAAAACTATTCCCTCAGAAGGGAATGTACTTGTATATAGCTAAACACCAGAAGGAAAAAGAATATGCCTCATCTCCTTAAACTGAGACTTACCTGAAGGGGGCAGAATAAGGGGGGTGGGGGAGAGAGAAAAAACCCAACTACATTATGATTAATGCTTTACTTAAAACATACAACATTTTATAATTAAATGGCTTCAAGTTAGCTTTCAGCTCATACATTCAGATAAGTAGTTGCATGTGTGTGTCTGATTTAACAAAGGACTTCTCAAACCTTTGCAATATAACTCGTCATTGTATCTTATACAGAATATAACAGTGACACAGCAAAGTCCTTAACAGACCTTAGGGGATGTCTGGCACACTTCTACTTTTCTAGCTTTGCATGCTGCAGAAGTTTTGCCAAGGCAGACGGTAATTATTAGGAATCAAGGAAAAAAGGAATCAACTCCCTAAAAGCTTTGAAAATTCTTCAACTCCACATCTCATTCACTTCTGTTTTCATTTTACCTTTGATACAGCCAAGTTTTGATCCACTATTTGCTTTGATAGATGAAGAACTATTATTGGCTGCAAAACCTGAAAAAGCCAATGAAAACCAAAATCTTGGTGTGCAATTTTCACTTTTGCTGAATTTCGTAATTTTTCCTCCACAAAAATACATTGCCTTGTTTTAAGGCAATTGTTTTTGTCCATTTCACTAGTAAAATGAAAGACAATGAAGAAGTAAATTGCTACAACAATCTTCTTATAGCTAAATCCTACAAAGTTAAAAAATGGTTATAGTAATTACCGGAATGACTTCTGTTGTCACTTCCTGCTTGCTGAACCTGTAAATAATGACATGTGCAGAAACTCCAGCTATGCACAGCATTCTACTTTCTGGACACCATGAGATCATCTGAATAGCGTATGGATCTTCATCTACTATATCTGTATTCGGCCTGTCATCTTTATTCCGTGATTTTTCAAATACTTTGGCTGTTTTTAGCTTATAGAGTACTTGAAGCGTTACTAGGAACATATCAAAAGAGATAAAAATTAGTTTTGATCTAAAAAAGTATTTTTCTCTTGTTCATTTTTTTTATAATTTAGAAACTTCTCTTCATAGATAAAGCCACTATATTCAACAAAAGAGGACAGAGTAGAAGCACTGAATATCTGTGTTGACTCTGCCCGTGCAGTGCACCACTTGCCCAAGACAGGATCAGTTAGTTTAAAACAAAACAAAACACAACACCACTTTTCCTGAGAGATATATACTAAGCATCAGTTATAAACTAAGTCCTCACAGCTTCAAGGCTTAACTATACTTAGGGATTTCTTTATAATAACATCTAGTTACATATACCATACCCACAACTTAAGCCTATCTATGGCAGAGAAAGTGAAGCTCCTTTCCTTTCTCCTTACAGTATTTCAAATCCATGGCCTCTCACCTCTGTTCTCAGACTTAACAGCCCCAGTTCCTCCAATTTTTATTTTACCCTGTCTGATCATTCAAAAGCGCTGCCCTCTGATCAGTCCACATTTTTCTTGATAGCGTGTTTCCTAGAACTGTTCTAGTGAGGTCTTGCCACAGTTTAAAATTGTGAAAGAATTCCTCAACGTTGGTTTTACAGATATTCCCACTTATTTATCCCAATGATTTCTTTTTTGTACAACACTGATATTGCAATCCATTAGACCTCCATTTTTTTTTCCCAGAACCCAGAACATAAGTTCTGAGTGTAAATCATTGATCTTATACTCAATTAAATTGTCTTGGATGCTATTCAAGAATTAGTAATAGCATTCTCAATTGTAATTTTAATTCTTTCTTAAATTTTCTTTCAACTGTCTTGGTGTTGCTTTCAAACTTCACAGGCATATTCTCTAGTCAATGGCCCACAATTACTGCTACAAATACTAATCGTATAATTAGGAAAACTTAATTTATGACCTCCTTTCTCCTCTTCCACATTTCAGTGGTTTTACCTGAGTCACACTTCTCCAGCTCATCTATAAGACTGTGCTATTAGAGAGATTTAAAAGTTTTAAAATCAAGATACAGGATACTTGCAGTTTCTCCCTTAACAGGTTTGTTTATCTATTTTAGAAAGAAACTAAGTGTCTTTAACAGGATGTCCTTTTGACAGATCTATGCTGAATAGAATTTTTAAGCACACAGAATCAATCAGGTTTGTTTTTTTTTTTTTTCCCCCCTCTCCCTCTCCCAGGTTCCACCCCCACCCCAAACTGAAATTAAAGATCTGTAACACTCCAAATACTCCTCCTCCCGGTTTTTAAACATATACATTGCATCTGTTCCCTCCCACACCCACACAGGCCTTAGCATTTTGGAATCTCACCAGTCTTCCACAAGTTTTCAAAGACAAACTGATAATGATTCCAAGATTGCTTCAGACAGCTTTTAAGTACCAAGAATAAGGTTAGTCAGAACTAGATTAATTAAAACATCTAACTCTGTGTAGTCCATTCTAATTTGAATTCTTACTGCATTTCTCACTGTTAGCTGTGTAGACCATCAGATGCAATTGACCCTTTAACTGAAGAGAAATGTAAAATGACACTCTTTAGGCCTGTTCAATGTTCCACCAAAGAAATGCGTCTTTATTTTACCGTTTTTCTGCGTTTCTTCACAAATGCCTAGATCATTTTATTAGCACAAACTACTACTGGTTCCAATTCTCATTTTTAGATACTGTAATTTATGGGGAGCTGATGTCTTACAAACACATGCCTCTCTCCCGTCTAAAAAGACAGAAATAATTTATTGAAATCCAATTGTACTAAAAACAAATGCATTTGCCTGTCATGCATCTCTATGCTCAGTAAGGTGCTTCTGAAGGTGCTTCTAAAAAAATTTTAGAATTCTTCCATTCTAGCTGGCCTTTGGACTACCAGTGCATTTTCATTGAGGCGGTAGAAACAGTGAAACCATTAACTAAGAAATAATGTTAATTTTATTTAATTTTAAATCAAAGTTTCCTATGGAGTTACTGACTCTACATGAGGCAGGAAATAATGAGAATGATCAGTCTGCAATTACATTCCATTAGAAAAATCAGTAAGTTTAGAAAACTCCTACTGCACAGGAAAAAAAATCTCTACTGAAAACACTTACTTGCTGAAGCATCCCAAAACTTGATTGACCCATCAGCATGCCTATGAAATATTAAAAAATTAATAAGATGGTAAAATCGTTAGTTGGAGTGTTAGACCTCTTTGCTACTGATTAGCAAAATATATGGCTAATATTCCATTTTTATTAGTATTCTTAGTGACACTTTATTTTCACAATTTATTGGAAGCTGACATTTTACAAACATGTGCCCCAACTAACTTTGGACAGAAGGGATTAAAAAACATTTGGAGGCTAACTCCCTGAAATTCCACTGTACTAATACTAATTTACCTTTTTAAATACTGATTTCAGTAACCTGCATTTCCCATAAGCAGTTTGGTATACCTTACCATGTGTTGTTTCTTAAAAGATGCCCTTTATTTGGAGTGACACTTGTAAAGGAGACGCCTAAATATGCTGTATTTCAGTGTAAATGAGTCACCTAACTTGTTTATTTTATCCTTGAAATTGAGAATCAGATGACTAGATTTTTTCAGGACTGTCTCTCCAAGTTTCTGCAATGTGTAGTATAAAGTGATGGTAATCCTCATTAGGGCTAATGGGCTATTCTAAAAAAAAAAAAAACCTTCAGTAGTGCTCTCACTTTCAGTGATGCCCTGCATGGTTATAAATTAAATTTTATTTACACTCCTTAGAGTAGTATTAGAAGGATCAGTCTCAAAAGAGATCAAAATGAACAGATTTAAGTATTTGGTTGTCCTTTTTGAAATAAAAAAAGCTTTGCTTCCTGTTGAGAACTGAAGTCAGTAACTATTTAATGGACTTCCTATGCTTTAAAACACTACTCAACTATTTTCCAGAAGTTGAAGAATAAAAGATAAATTTCATTCAGGATATATTGATAGCAAGCAGACATAATCACAATGCCACACCATAATAATAATCCCCGTAAAACACCTGCTATCATTTGGTTCCTACCTTCTCTTCCACATTTTGCTTTACTTTCTTATTAACGCCTCAAGAAGATTATGCAAATGACTTGTCTGGTGAACATAATTTCTTAAATCATTCAAACCACTTTTAGAACATTGTTTTCTATAAGAGGAACAAAATATTTTCACTTCTATTTACTCAGCTAAGGAAGTTATTACCACACTACGGTGTCACTTACCCTGTAATAATTATCTCTGGATAGCTCTGAGTGATCAAACCCCAGTTGCCTCCACTGATAGGCCATTCCTGGAAGATTAACAAATACACTGAGGAAGAAAATATCATACAGTGCCAACTTAAGTCATTGAAATTACTGCAGATACTGCAGATTCCAGTATTACACATGATTTCAAAAAGTAATTAGACAGACCCACTGCAGAGGAAAAAGAAAAAAAAAAATTCAACAAGGGCTATAAACAACACCTCTGCTCCAGGAAGTCCCTTAGCTTCCAGTGATACAGCAATCAATGGGAGCACATCAGGGAAGCATGACTATAGGCTTGACATATACTATATCCTCCCTAAACATCTGCTATTGGCCACTGTCAAAGACAAGACAATGAGTCAGATGGAGTTTTGGTCTTAGTATGGCCACTCTTATGTTGTTCAGAGCTGTTGATTTTCAGTATTTTCAAATACATATGTACGCACTAGATGTTGTACCTTCTTACTGTAACCTTGACGTTTCTGTCGCGCACCAACTGAATAGAGTGCAGGTATGAGGTCCACAGGACAATCAGCAAAATATTCACAACAGGTAACCGGAGATTCATGTATAGTCAAAGGATAGGGATTCTCAAATATAGGGTACCTTTAATGGATGAAAGGGGAAGACTGTTAATCTAGGAAAATCTTTTTTTTAAAATGCAGAACACAAGTAAACCACTAAAGACTAAGTTTGCGTTCTTTTCGTATAGAGGAAAATAAATGCATAAATATACTATGCAACTTCACTGCTCATCCAGTACACTATCAAGATACTGTAGTACTCTAGATGGAACCTGACATTTGTACTGTTTCTAGAATATTTCTAGAACACCGCTATGCCCTATAGTTTTACATTTTTAAAAGCTTACTATTTCAATGGCCTGTAGAAAAACTGAAGTTACCAAGTCTTAATTGTGGTAATGTGGAGCTATGAATTTATTTCTAACTCTTCAGTCTATTATTCCAGGGAGAAAGACAAGGGGATTCCACTTCTCACTTTGTTTTATTATACTGTTCTTAGACAGAAAGTTGTCCAGCACTTTTCATAACCTACTTGCACCTCCAAGATCAATTTCTTAAAGTTATAGATAGCAATACTCAGTTACCAATTAGAAGCAAACACACACACATATACTCCCCACCACCACCTCCATCAGAAAAGTGACAGAGCCATAATGAGGAAAAAAGCCAATAGTAATAATAGAGGTAAATGTATCTGTGTTCAAAGAACATTTATCTCCAGAGAAATGCATACTATGCATATGCTCCCCGCCCCCCCCCTTTTTTTTTTTCAGAGGCAAAAAGGGACAGAGTTTCTCAACACATCTAAAGGAAAAATTAGCAACAACAGATGAAAACATGCTGCATACCAATAAATTTATACAGAGCTATCTGGAAAGCTAAAACAATCTTTAAAAATAGAATGAAAAAGAGGCTTCATTTTAACAAAATATGATAAATCCATATGACAACACTGGGCAAAAGAAAACCTCCTGTAGCAAAAAAATCTATTAATTTTGTTGCTTTTTTTAGCTGTGAAACATTAATACTTTGCAAGTCAATCATACAAAGACCATTATAAGTCTTCTAAAAACATAACTGCTGAAAATGTTTTAACATGAAATAGAACAGCCTTAACATAACTTCAAATTTCAGGCACTGCAAACTATTTCACTTAAGAAAAAAAGCCTTGTACAAATCTTTTTATTTCAAGCTCATTAAAACTTGTTTTATTAATCTTTCAGCATATGAATGTTGGAAGCTTAATGCCATTGGTGTATCAGAAACAAGTTTTGGATACAGCATATGGCCATGTAACATTGGAAAATCTAAATGAAATTGCTCAGTAGCTACAGAGATATTAGGACTAAACTTGACCTTCTTCCAAATTCAATAGACACTTCATTATCTAAGATATCACCATTGACTTTGAGGATACATATTTACAGGTTTTTGGTTTGCCCTAGAAGGATGTTCTTCACAAGGATTTTTTTTCTTCACTGACCACTGATGACTTTTAATCAGGAACATTACAAAGATCTTATCCGTCTGGTTCCTCTGCTACTAATCCCCTAATAGTTAGTTGTTACTGCCTATACTGATTTCAAAACCCTTGATAAAAAAATTTGTAGGATACAGAATTTTTAATCACCACCTAATAGAGTATACGGACTATTCCACGGGCAAAGTAACAAGAGACTCAAAATGTGTAAGGCAAGTATTAGTTGTGAAAACTGTAATAGGATACTACTTTTAAGCAACCTCTCACCACACTAGTAAACCAGGGAGTAGATGTTACCATTCTAATTTTATGTATATGATATTTATTGCATCAGTATCGAGTTACTTTAAGCAACACAGATAGCAATTCATCTGGCAATAAAATCAGCAAATATTTATGTGATGACAACAACACTCAGTGTCAGCCAAAATTACTTGGCTTACCTGAACAGTTGTTCCCCCTGCTCCCTTCCCCAACATTCCGAGCTCCCCTCATAGCACTAAGGAATCAACTTCAAAATAAACTATGATAATTAAAAAGCAGCAGTGATCTATAAGTAATTTCTGTTGGTCAATCAAGCCCGGAAAAAGTCACACAATATTCTACTCATCTAGTACACATTAATTTGAGAAAAGTTGATCTACAAATATTCTCAGTTCTGCTAAGAAACCTTATATTTAATATTAAAAATGTTATGTTATGGACAGGGAGGTATTACAGTAGATTAAAAAGCTATAGAGCAGAACAACAGGCTGATCACTGCAGCCAACCATTAAAAAGACTACACAAGGTTCTTACCCATTTTGTGCAAGGTCAATCAGTACTAAGTCCTTTTCTAGGAGAACAACTACAGCATATGGTTCCTGAAAGTCTGAAAACAAAGAAAAAAGTTACTTATTGGTAAATGTAGTTCTTGCACGCACAGCCTCAAGAATGCGATCAGTCCTTACACTCTATCAGTCAAGAATAGAAAAGACACTTAGATGACTATAATTTCTGAAGGTATTTTATACACTCACCCCCCTGAATACTCCAAGTTAAGTCTGGAAAAGCCACACTCCCCCTTTAATTCAATATTCTCAACTCTCTTCCAATTTGCTAGAACCATTTAAACAGCTCAAATAACAGGAATAGGAACATGCAGAGGAACTTGTATAAGCAGTATTTCTGAGAAAGAGCCATTACTGAACAATAACATCCTCCCACCCCCAAACTGCTTTTCCTCATATTCTGTGGGGTTTCAATTCTAATTGCTTACAAAATGCATTGAAAGACAGCCAGCTTGACACTAGAATAAGAAAACTGAAAGAGTTTCTAAAGTTTATCTTGCCTTCTTTCAGGAAGATCTGAAATTCTGAGCTAAGCAGACAGCTAAAAACATTGGAGTCATTGGCAATATACTGCTATTAATCTGGGACAACTACCTAAAATATGACAAAAAAGTCCCCTTCTGCAGAAGAGAGATTACAGGTTAGTGATGAACTTCATGTGAGTATTGGAATGAAGTCACTAAAAGTGAAGAGTACTATACAAATGCCAATCAAGATTTAGCATTGACTGGAAAGGTCTTACGTGCTCAAATAAATATTGGTGAGCACATCCGCTGCAGTAATTACAGCTTAAAATTGTAATGTTACTTTTTGTCTGCACATGCTTTTAGGATTAAAAAAAAGGAAAAACCCTGCAACTAGTAATTGGCGTTCTTCTAGAAGCAAAATAGGTTTTACAATAAACTATTCTATTATGATGCTTTGGGAAGTAAAACATACTTCAGACAATAGGGACAACAGATGTTGCCACTGCAGTCTGGTCCCCAGAGATAAAACAGAAAGGCAATAGTAAAGAATATTCTGATGTGATAAAACTCCCAAGAGAAGAGGTCAAAGTACTGGGGGGGGAGGGGGGAGAGGGGAGAGAGAATCTTTACAGAGCTTACCATTAGGATATGGTGTTTCACAGAGGGTTAGAAAATCAACAATAGAATAATCCATTTCTAGCACAGCAGTACTTTTCCCATGCATAACTGTTAAACAGGGTCTTCTTCCTACAGTGTCATATGACAAGCCTCCTGAAAGAATGATGAAAGGCTCCCTGGAATAAAGCAGAGGCATTTAGGATCAAACCAAGATAAAGAGATTGGGCAGTTTTTGTAACATTATAATGAAGTTCAATGAGATATCATTAGAGATACAATTAAGAATAATGCAAACCAGCTCTCCATGCAATGTGTAGCTTGGGTGTGTGTTTCAAAACTTAAAACCCAAGAGTTAGAAGACTATAACTCAAGTCATACATCTCTTCCAAACCTTTTGTTCTATTTTGCTTATTTAACCAATCTTTGCAACTGCTTGCCAAGATGAGATTTTTTTATTTTGTTAAACTTTAGAATTGTTTCTTTTCTACTGAACTGCAGATGCAGATTTGCGAACAGCCTCATTTATCCATAATATAAAATATTACAGCAGGATCAGGAAGAAATAGTCCGACGTACTTGCTGTACAGAATTACCCTAAATTTTGAAGGATGAACAATTTTGCAAATAGCGTAAAGTAATTCTGCAGTCACAATAATATTGAACTGTCTTGGAGACAAAACCAGCTGCTTGATAAGCTTCAAAGACCTAACATCTTTTAAGAAGCAAGGACATAAATAAATTTCCGTGGTTCTCTCATCACACATTTACTCTATAGACATTTTATCCATTTTCCCCCCTGCCACCATGCACAGATTTCAAGGAACTACTTCTATGTCATAGACTACTCCTATTGCATAATTAAATGGTTGAGTACAGCAAAGCAAAAATATTTCTTCTTGAGAAAAGAGACTAGAGGCTTCCCTTAAAAAATTTTTTAAAAGTCTTTACAGAAACATATTTTTAAATACATCCATATTTTGTCCAATATGTACAAAATATACAGTTTAGTATTTCATTTATTGAAAAACAAGATGAAGTAAATATATTCTTTTTACTAGGTATTTTTTTCTTTCCCAATTATCAAAACTCATCACTATTTTAATACTGTTTATGTTTAAAATAGGGCATAATACTTTTAAAAGAGTTGTTCATAAGTATACAACTCAAGAAATTTCACCCATTATTGACTATTGCCTCAAATTCCAGGTTATATTTCTGGAGAAAAAATAATTACTTAGGGTGTGAAAGTCTTCTGATGTACTTTATGCTCACTGTAGGTAGGAATCCTACCCTTTGTTTGTGTCTACCTTGGAAGCAGCTAGTATGTCAGTATCTGGAGAAAATCTCTAGGGGAAAAAAGCCATACTGACATATTGTGAAAACAAAGCTGAAGAGATCTTGTATTTTTTGTCTTTTCCTATAACACCATCTTTCCCACACTGTCAAAATGGCTTTCCCTAGTTCGCATTTGAAACATAAATATGACAGATTAGGTACATCTTTCTTCCTGAAAACTGTGCGTGAAGAGTGTAGTTTACGCACATGCTGCTCTTCATGAGTTTAAGGCTTGACTGAAATGTACTCTGTGTTTGTAGCATTGAAGGCAAAGCAGACCGAGATAGTCTTTCAGTTTCTACAATTATCTCACAATCTGCCTGATCCTTCAGAAAGCCCTATGACTTGAAGAGTTGATAGGATCAAAGAGTTCTGCTGGCTGAGGAAGAGATCTCAAAGGAATGGCCATAAATTAGACCATGGGTCTACCAAGTTCAATATCCTGCTTTCAACAGTAGCCGAAAGTGTATTTCTAGAAAAGGAGTAAGTTTTCTCCAAGTTTTCATTCAATCTCAATTCTTCATGTTGGAACTTCACACAATCTTTTATAGTCAGGTCTGTGAAGTAATTTCAGGAAAAGGACAAACTTTAATTTAACCTGATATTTTTCAGGATGTCGATGAATAGAAAAATACTGATGTGATGTACTTGCAGTATCTCATTGTGCTAGAATGATTTATTGCAGTATTTTGTCTTCATAGAATCATTTTTTTTTAAAAAATAATGCTGCCAGGACAATTTGCAGTAATTATTAGACTTGCAGGTTCACCAAGATCAACTGACAATAACAAAGTGACAAATTTCAGTTTCTAAGTTTCATACATCACAATGAAAATTGCATGCTGGTTTCTCCTGGTTTTATTTTTCAAGGTAATCAGGTTGCTTTGGGCAGGCTTGTCAGAGTCTGTTTCCTTATGAAGCAAAGAACGGAAGAGCTAAGAATAGATTACGCAGACCTGTCACACGCATTTTTCACAGGTGGGTCAAAGATTAAAGTTGACTTTAGTTTGCCAGAAAGACTAATACAGGTTTGTGTATGAACTTTTCATATTTTCATTAAACCATGGATTTACCACAAACACAAACTGTGCATTTTCTAATTAAATACTTGAAGTGTTGTCCTTCAGTTGTGATACATATTAAAAGGTGAATGCACATGAATGTTAAACAGAAATGCATAATTTAAAAGAAAAATAAAAAAAATGTACTTTACAGTAAAATAGATGAGATTGATCCAACTTTGATAGTTACATTTTACCTACATGAAACAATGGAAAATATTTAACAAAAAGCAGTGCTTAGCTCTTAGAGAATTGCTATATAGCATTTTTAGCAGCTGCTAATACAGAGATTCTTCTTCAAAACAGTTCTGCTTCAGCAGGTATGGAAGCAATCCCTTAACATTAATTTCCTCATCAGTTAAATCTGTAAAATCACTTGGGGAACACTATAAAAAAATTCACTACAGAGGGGGGTGATGTTTCATTGAAAAAAATTTCAGAAAACACAGGATTAGGCCTTGCAGTGTGTGAAAACATAATACAGCTGAGAGCTGAGTGGCTCACAACCCTGGAGGATGTTTCTGCTCAATTTTAGAAGTAAATTGTCAAATGTCAGTCAGTTTCTGGCAATCCGGATATGAGAAAGAACAGTATATACAGAAGTCAGGCCATTGGTATCCGTTGGCTTACTTTTCAAACCATGGGTGAATTTGTCAGGAAGTTAATCCCCTAGTAATAAAGGTGGAAAAGACTTCAAGAGATAGTTTAGCTTAAGACTGAAATCTTGAAGTAGTAGTGAAGATAAATTACAAATTTTGGGAAGTATGCTTTTGAACCGACAAGCTCACAAAACAAAGTAGCACTATTCAAACTAAATTAACAGATCAAGAACTTTTACTTACCTGGAGACCTCATTATTATTGTAAACTCTGGGTGCCAATTATATACATTCATCTTGCTAAGCGGTACTGTTCTACAGTTAGTCAATGACAGCTACGTTAGCTACCCTTTTTGATTATCGTTTATGAGGAGACTTTTGAGCTGTAATTTCTACTACACAGAGCTCTAGTAGCGAGGAATAAGCATAGGCAATTTTACCATAATGCTAATATCAACCAGAGTAAATACTATAAGGAACTGAATCTGGAGGGGAAATGGCATTAGGAAGCTCAAGAGCTTCTCTAGATTCACTTTAGACAGAAAAGTACGCATAAAAGGCAGCATGGAAACCATTTCATCAAGCTCAAAAGGTAACCTACCTTTGGAACTCATTGCTTTGCAAAGAGATGGAGTATTTTAGATAAACTTAAATGGCTGGAGAACAATGACATTATGGTCTGGGATTGGAAAATTATGCCAGTTTTCTCAAGGAACATACCAAGAACTTGCCTTTTCAACCCCCTAGCCCAGGTACAGGACAACTGTCAACAGTAACCTTTCTACATATATTCTCCCAGAAATAAAGCTTCAGACATACTATTGTTGTAGGGTAAACAACTTTGGCTTTGGAGACTTCACAGGCACTATCTGCAGGAGACTTAAAAATCAAATAACCGAACAACAGAAAACCCACAAACTTAAAAGATAAATAGGCAGTCTGCAAGAACCAGAAAAAGCCTCATGTCCTCCTGTTTCCCTGACTCCAGCTTCACAATATGGAAAACATAATGGAGGAAAAAAGTGAGGAGGAGTTAGTAAGAGCTGCAACACTAGGAAGAACAGTGTCTGTAGCCCCTACTATAGGTTGCAATCAATTATGTTCCTTCCTTCTGTGTGGTTCTGGACACATTTTCTCAAAAAAAAAGTTTATTAGAATTAGAAGCAGTAAAGAAAACAAGTGAGAGCACATCAAATGAAGTGTTTTCCACATGAGGAGATACTGAAACAAACCTAGATCCTAGACCACTCTGGATAAGGGAAGAGCAAGAAAGAAGGAGTGACCAAAAGATGTTAGAGTTCCACACAGAGCATGGAAAAAGTAAACACGGAACGGTTACTCAGTTTTTCACAATAAAGAAGTTAGGTGAAATAAATTAAATATACATTAAACAGTACCTCTTAAGTATGTTGTAAGCTTTGTGGTTTTGTTTTCTTTTGTGGGTTTTTTTTGGTTTGTTTTTGAAGAACAGTTAGAGCAGACTGCTATAGAAGCAAGTTTATTTGTTTTATTTCTTATATTCTTTCAGTAGCTAGAAAAAATTTGGTCCTGTCCAGCTACAGGACCATTCTCCTCTGTGCTACAGAAATTATACCATGAACAACAAATGACAGTGCTTTAGCTAAAAGTCAAAATTGTATCATGTTCATACCTAATCAATTTCAATTGGTAAAGAGAAAAACTATCAAAATTTTAAGCACTGAAAGGTAGTTCTGCCTTGCCTTAAAATTCGTGTACAAAGATTACAATTGAAACTGAAAATTGAAGTGTGAACTAAAGTACATGTAGCAACAAATGAATGGAGATTTTCAGTGCACTGCTTCACCACCACAGTGCAAATTTTGGTTTTTGTGGTTTTGGTTTTTTTTTCTTTTTAATTAAAGTTCTGGAAGAGTATCACAACAGTTACAGATTTAGAAGTACACTGAAGATGAAGAGAATATTAGAGAGAAAATAACAAATTGAAATGCATCAAAACATTCAGTTTGGATGAACATTGGAAAATGAGAGGTGTAACAGAAAAAAGCCCAAACTAGGAAAAAGTAGTCTCCCCAAAGAGCTATGTATTCTTAGAAATTATATTAGAATAAGCTTCTCTCTAAACTGTGTGAAAAGTCAACTGGTTTTCACATTGTGATATTATAATTGCATAGAACAAGCTTCGAACTAATCTTTTCCTTCAGAATGGCTATTCATAACAGAAGGCTTTTGATTGCAGAAATTTTAACTTGCTGAAGCTGAGACTACTTTTGGTTATCTGTATCTTTCTTTGGATCAGCTTTTGACATTTCAGTTGAGAAAGGAATATGCAGACAGATGTAGATGGCTGAAGTAAAATATGGCTTTCCAACTGACCATAAATGTTCATACATCTGGGAATTACCCACAGTCTTAAATTTCTATTAACGTCACTTTTAGCAAACAATAAAAATACACAAAGCCACTGATATTATATGTACGGGTATACCAATATATAGTAGAAAACTATATTACATCAATTAAGTAGCAATCTTTGGATTTGAATGCCTGGAAAGCAAATGAAAGCAATACAGAACCCCCCCCACCCCCCAAAAGTAAAAGAAAATAAATAATAATATGAAAAAAAGAATCAACATTTGCAAATAGCTGAACAGGTTTCCATGAATATTTTATCTTTATATTGCACTTTCTACTCAAATACTTTAAAGCACTTCAGAACCATAAATAAAAGAAATTTCACACAGTTCATTAAATCCTTCAATCCTAATTGCAGTCTTGGTAACAAAACACGCTACTCAAGATACTGCAATTCCATCTGAGCCTCTTGTTGCAATTACTGCTTTGTTACATTCTCAATGTGCATAATTAGGCACAATTTGCTGCATAAATTACTGCACTCTACCAGAAAAGCTTCTGTCAGTATTCAGAATTTAGAATATTAGCATCAGGCTACTACTTGTCAAAGTTCAGTTTTTCAGGTCTGTGCTTTAGTGTCTTCTGTGCTTTATCAGCCTTTTTTTCTTTAATATTCTCAAAAGATTGAGCAAAAATACACATGAGTTTAGTAGCATGGAAGAAGCATGTAGATAATGCATTAGCAGTATCTTTACCTAACTTAAGGTTTGTATATAGTAATTTGTTCACATATGTTTTTGGAGTTTATTCAGCAATATCTGATTTACCAAAACTATTTCAGCTGTTTTACCATAGCTTAGTACAATCAGGATATGTATCCCAACAACTGGGAAACAAAGTACATTCCTAGAGAGCTGCTTTTATTTTACATGTGTTAATTTTGCATACAAAACAAGTCTTACCCAGCTCTAGTTGTTTTATATTCCACCTTAAGGATAGGTTTGCAGGGTTCTGGCTTCTTTCCATCCTTCAGCTGCTTTCCTAAAGTGAATTATTTTCTTATATTAATCTTACAGTTCCATAACATGATGACAAATTATGAAATTCACTATGCAACTTGCAAAGTAGAACATTCATACAAGCATATATTCAACACCCCCAACAATTATAGAGTATGCCTTGGAATAATATAATTAAAGATTTGTTAAAACTCTCAATACACTAACCTAGAATATTTAGGTCTAGGGTTTTTTTCATTTGGTGGGGTGGTAGTTTTGGTTTTTTTTTTTTTGAAGTATTGTAGAATATTTGTTTTCAAAAATATAATCCTCCCCTAAAAAGTTGTTTAAGTAGCACTGGGAGATTTAAAATTTCTCATGTCTACCATTTTGCAATTAAAATTGGTCAGCTTACAAGTAAAATGAGGTTTATTCTGAGCATTACCCTTAAGGGCTAAGACTTGAATTCGAACATGAAGGCCTGCTTTTTCTCTACTGTGCGCTATTAGGAACTAAAGCTTCTACAGATACAATTTCCCATGGAAATTAAGAATATGGTGTAAATATGCATCTTTTCTATCTGAACATTGATAAAGTCTGATACAACTACAAAGTTCTGCAGAAGATTTAATTTGCATCCCAAGATCAAAATAAAAATGTTTAACAAAAGAAGCCAAAACATATTAAAATAAAGTTAGTCTTGTCTAACTAGTTTTACTACTACAGTAGCAGTCAGGTTTTTATTTTTGACTGCTACTGGATCATACAAAAATCCACAGCTTCCTTTTTCCACTCTAGTCCACAGCCATATAGTCAACATGAACTTGCTGAAGTCTCAAACGGTTAAACCAGGATGCTTAACTACAGCATCTTGTACTACAACTGTAACCTCACAGACTATCCTGTTACATTCACACTTAAGAATGTGAGGTAAATAAGTTGCTAAGACTAATTAGACACATGCACACCATGTAAACCTAGCATTTGTATAGAATTTTTTTGAAGAGCAGCAGCATATTTCACAGAAGAACAACATGTAATGTTAATTTCCTAGATTAACATTAATGCAAGATTTCTCAGAAGTGGGAACATCTTACCAGATGCTAGTCTTACTCTGTTACAAACCTTTCCAAGAATTTATATGGTAATCTACACATTTATACACGAAACAGATGCTTGCTTATATGTATTTTAAACAACATATGGGATTGTAATGTCAGGCAAAAAGCGAGCCCTGCAAAATATGCATTAGTTAATTTTGAGATCAATGCCATTGTGTGAAAGGTGAGCTTAAAGTTTAGAGATTTAGACAGAACTGCACTGATTTGGATTCTTATTTCATAAAGACTTATTTTCTTAATTAAATCTATCAGTATTTGATATGACAGAAAGTTTTTTACTTGCACTGCAAGTACATTTTTAATACTCGGTTTTGCAAAACACAATTCTATTAGGAATAAGTTCTCTGTGTTTTAAGAGCTGTCAAACACAGGAGGTATCTATTTTCATCTTACCGTGTGGAGTGATTGTCTGGAATGGTTTGGTAGGAGATTTTACATTCCATATGGTCAAGGTACCATCTGAGTGACTACAAATAAATTGTTTCCCTTCATGATGCCAAGCCACGGAGTGAATAGCCTATGCAAGAAAAGACAAAAAAATCAGAACAGTATAAATTGAGTATCTTAGTATCATTTCATCCTTACTCCTTCCTCAATGACATTAGACAGCAAAAGGAACTTAGAGAAAGTACTAATCAAATCATACTGCTCTTAGTATGTCCTAATTTACCCAGCAATATGATTGGGAGAATCCAGAGATTAAACGACAGATGAAAATGACATGAGTGTAGAGTCTCCAGAAATAACTTTTCCAACTTAAAGTAGTAGAAGATCTGGATATCTATAGACTACAGATTAACTAAGTTTAGTATTTCTTAGTTAAATTTAATCTTGTTCCCTATGTAGTGTGGAATCACTGTAGATTTTGTTAGAAGACAAATTCAGTCTACCAATATCACATCTACACATATGTAGCTCAGAAACCTAGACATCTCACATGAAGTCTCCTAGAGTCAAAGTGAAATAGTCTTGCTCATTCTGTCTGTAAGATAAATTTTTATTTAGCAAATAAAAGCAGGTATTATAAAAGAAATTTTGCGTAAGTATTGAAAATTTGTTTTTATTTACCAATGTAGTACCAAACAAAGTCAGGGATCAGCAAGTTTGAAAGTGCAGACTTGGTAAAGCAAAGGTTGCATTTCAAAAAGCTCTTTTCATTAAGAAAAGAGATTATCTATACTATGATAAGCAATACTATGTATTAAGTATGTTTTAAATACCCTCCCATGTGGACTCTAACCCTGACAACAGTAGGCAGCCCATAGCGTAAATGGAACAGCTTTTGATACACATTTATGTAGAAATAGGTCTCAAGAACCAGTAAGAAAGTAAGTTTTATAGAAGGAAGGATAAACCTGAGAAACGAACACTTCTTCCTTTTCTTGAAAAAGAAGGTCAAGAGGAAGGAAACACAACAACCCATTACTGTTGAAATGACATTAATGTTTAAGAACATAAAAAGATCTGATAAACTGAGCACAAAGGAGAAGGATGACTGCTATCACTTAATTTCTACAAGCAACGTGATGGGATGGAAAGAACGCTGAAAGAGAATAATGAGGTCTTTAGCTTTATGGCTATTTATTGTCTAGTTTTATAGAGCATCTGGTTACATTTAGCAATGCAGCAAAATATTATTTAAAGCATAACAAAAATACATGTTTTATGTATTTTTAAAATAATCCAACTAATAATTCTGTGGGCTGAGTATGATAAACTTTGGTACAGAGCACTATCTTTTGCTATTACACAATTCACAACGTTTTGTAAGCCTGAAAAATAAAACCAGACCTGTAAGTAGCTGTAGCATGATCTCTAGGTATACAACAGGCTAGTATATCTACAGTGACAACGAAAAAAGTACAATAACTTTAGGTGACACTAAAATCATAGAATCATTGAATCATTAAG